GCGAACGTACATAACTGGCTAATGTACACGAACGCACACGACATTCCAATGCTGTACAACAACGTGATTCTGTCGTTCTAACGTTCTACGATGAACTTTTGATAATTCGTTGTATCGTAATTTTCATCCGAGACGAGTTATGTCGTTCGAATTTATTTAGTGTCATCTCGTAAATAAAAGAAATATACGTGAAACGGATAAGCTTCATAGCCGCAACATGTGCTTAACTTCACATACACGGGGGTAGAAGTTTTCCTCACCGCGAAATCTCTGCTTCTTATAACAACCACAGTTAATCCCCGAGTCTTCCACATAGATATAAAGCACCTACTTATCCCGTAAGTAGCTTTAATGGTCTGTCCATAAGGACTCTTTTCACCGCAGAAATCTAAATCCAACTTCGAAACTATGTGTGTCTGCGCCGAAGACAGCAATTCAATTAATCTTCACATTTCCAAAAAAAAGAAACGAGTATAAAATTCGCTACTGTTCGTTTCGTGAGGGCAATAAAAGCCCAGGTAGAGGACAGACCCTTTCCGCGAGGCCCGTTAGTTTTAAGTTAGTTTAACATTTGCGGAAAAATCCAGGGGGGTGTGTATGCGAGAGAATGGAGAGCGTGGAACGAGTGACAGAGTGTGGGGTAAGATTTGGAAGAGAGGAGATAGCGTGGAACGAAAGATCGTGTGGAGAAAATACAGTGTGGTTTAGAGTCGACTAAACATTTAGTTTACTTCTGTTTACCATTGTTAATAAACTATTATTACTGTTATGTTAATACACTTTTCGAACTGCAATCACGAGTCCAAATTAAATCCCACACTACCGAAGCATCGTGACTATGTAACGCCACGATTTTCCTCAATCTCCGTGCAACGTACATCGAACCACCGCGCGGAACGTAGAATTTTACTGCAATCGGGAAACAGTCGGTAAACACAGGCTCGATTTATCAGAGAGATGCTGAATCCAGCCAGAATCGGAAGCACACACGTGGAAACGGTTGGAAGGAAGAAGGGTATGGCCGCGATATCCGCTCTTACGAGCAGCCGCGAAGAACTCGTGCAAGGAATAGGCTCGTTTCCGCGTCGATACGGCCAGCCAGTTTCCCTTCCGGGTACTTTAGCAATCAATTCGCGAGCAGGCTGGAAAGACTGACCTATATAGCAGGCCCTGAAACCCGTGATAATCGATCGATCGCGGAAATTTTCGCGCGTTTCCCTACGAACGCGACGCGAAGTCCAGGGACGGTCGGTGACCCTCTTCATGCCTATGTCTCTTCTCTATCTCTCTCTTGCTCGTGTCTCTCTTCCGAACCGGTTCATCCTTTGTTCACCTCTGGGGTTTACACTAGAAACAGCCGCTTCAGTGCTGTTGTACTTAATTAACGCGCTTCCTTTCAGCGCCCGGTCGAGGGCTTGATCCGACAGCCAGAAACCGGTCGTGCTTTCACCGCTTGATCATTTCGGCAAACAGCCGCCCGACCCGCGCAAACTGATTCGACAAGGAGGATACGTCCCGTTGTCCCCCCACGGTCATTGACGAGCGCGCGACGCCTCACAGACGTGTACGTACGGGGTGTCCGAAGTTTTAAGGGATGAACTTCGGGAGTGTGGACAGAGATTGTGCAAACATACGGCACTTTGTACCGTCGAATTTTATCCGATTCGGAAGTCAATGTTCTTGGTAATCCGCTGAGCATTACGAGTGTACATTTGCGTTATACTTTAGTCAACTTACTGTATACACATGCAGTATACATACGTTTTGAATTTCGCGCCAAAATGGTGTCGACGTTAATTGAAAAAAAGAAGAGTATGTATGCGAGATAACTCATTACTCAAGGGTGCAAATGTGCGAAGAAAACTCACTGCTTAAAAAATGAAGGATTCATCACGCATATGTGCAAATTTGCGAAGAAAACTCTCCTCAAAGGGTTAAGCACTTTATACAGTTTAGTATAAAAATATAACGATTAGTGTCTCCTGTTCACTTTACAGTATGTTATATTTCATTCTACATAAATTTATATTTCTGAAATTTGTAAATAAATGGGAAACTGGACAATACACTTACGGGACATCCTGTAGACACGTATAGAGACGTGGCGTCGTTTAGACATGACACGTACACGTATACCGTGAAATGGCGCATCGCGACGAGAACCGAACTGACCCAAATCAGCACAAAGAACACCAACGCCATTCGACATCGCGATAAATGGCTGTTCGAGCACGATCAAAAGACTCTGTCTTTGGGGAGAGGGCCTTTTCGTGCGATAGCTGGTCGTTCAACTTGATTAACGCTCACCTCCGGCGTTGTTCGATCGAGGATTCAATCCGGAACAGGGTTTAATGATTTTGGTAAACAACGCCTGCTAGGACAAACACAGGGATTCTGCGTCTGTTGTCGGAGCAGTGGCTGAATAGCAATATGATGAGGCTTACCTCTGGCGAATCGGATAGAACCGATGAGAACTGTAATTTCGATTGGACGACGTAGCACAAGCAACGTATTACACTATATCGCGACATCATCGATGATTACTTTCTTTTACACGAAAGAACCGAGAGATTGTTTAAGAGATTTTTCGTTCGTTAACTGTATCTTCCTTACGGGAGTCTATTATGGCACAGGTGTTGTGCTATGGAATATAATAGAAGCGATGGGTGCAGAGATTCTATATTGTAACTTCATCGATGATTACTTTCTTTTACACGAAAGAACCGAGAGATTGCTTAAGAGATTTTTCGTTCGTTAACTGTATCTTCCTTACGGGAGTCTATTATGGCACAGGTGTTGTGCTATGGAATATAATAGAAGCGATGGGTGCAGAAATTTGCGATTTAAAAAGTAGATCCTCGATTAGGATAAGGAAAAAGTTTGATAATCTCGGAAAATCTAGGAAAACATTTGACATCTTGCAACAAGACTTGAGTCTTCTGTGTTCATCACGAATCTAACGCAGATAACGAACGTAGCAAATGTAGATTTGGCAATTAGAGAGAATGTACAGAAGAATTTAATGCGCGAGTTACGCGCGAATATCCGATTTCTTTGCTCGCCAACGTGATGCAAGCATGACATCACAATAACTATGTAGACAATAAAGAGTCGGTTCGCACGCAACACGCTGCACATGCATCGACGAGAGCACGCACGCGATATACCAGGATATAGTGCGTGACCAGCAAGCGGTCTTTGGCATGTAATGAACAATCCACCCCTGGAAATCGATAGGGCGAAGAGACGATAATCCTGACCCGAAAGACTGCATCTTACGTTAGTGATCTTTTCGAAAGAAATAGCTTACGATCGTTATTATACGATATTCGTAGCAGAAAAGTTGACAAACTACGTTTATCTATGGAGACATTTCCTTGCAGAATTGATAATCTCGAAGTTTGTAACATGCAAATTTCATAGTTGCGATTGAGGCTATTGCTACGCAAATCTCAGTCACGTCAAATGAAAAGTAGACTCGTGACCGGCGATCATTTTCGTCTCGGACAATCTATTCCATGCGATAGCTGTCAGGAACTTGTGGAAAGGAATAGTTGGATTTCAAGGAAAGGGATAAAAGAGCGCCAAGAACAGAAAAAGCATGGGATTGGTGCAATCAGTATGTGGGATCAATCTGCGACACGGTCTAGTTAATTGTAGAATCGAACGTAATTCGGAGATCTATTGGACTAAATGTGCAATTCGATAGGCATGGATTTGGTTAAAGAATTCACTTGGGCCACGAATTGTCTTACTCTAGGGATGAATTTTGATGCAGACTTGGTTTAAAAGTTGACTTGGACTGGAGGTTGACTTAACCTGCAGATCTCAGGAGTCCTAAGGCCCTAAACGCCTCAAGGTCCCAGGGATCACAAAATACCTAAAGTCCCAATGTTACAGGAGTTTCAAGGTTTCAAAAGTCTCAAAGTTTCAGAGGTTCCAGAAATCGCAAGGTTCCGAAAGTCCCAAAGTTCCAGAAATTCCAAGGTTCTAAAAGTTCCAAAGTTCAAAAAATTTTAAAGTTCTAAAAGTCTCAATATTACAAGAGTTGCAAGATTTCAGGAGTCTCAAAGTCCCAGAAATCCCTATGTTCGAAAAGTCCCAAAGTTCCAGTCATTCCAATGCCCCAAAGAGTCCTATAGCTTTCAGAATTCCCTTGAACCAAGTCGATCCCTGGGCCAAAGCAACCCCTAGACTCTGCCTTCCTTAGGTCAGATCGATCCTCTTACCAATTAGATCCTGAAACCTTATATCCACGTAGCAGATCTTATCTGTTTCTCGTAGCTAATCTCCCATGTCAGACTATACATCTAACGGTAAATTCACCCAATCCTACACTAACAATTCTTACATTCTCCCCGTACTTATTATTATCCTAAATGCCTACTAAAATTAACCAACCTAATAGTTTACAAAACTCAATCCATACACCTGCAATTTCATACACAATTAATAGCCTTTCGCGGTTACCTTCCCTCTTCGCAATCCTCTTTAAATCTACACCCTCTGAAATAGCAGATAACCGGCAGAAGTGATGAGCACGGTGTCACTATTATGCTTAAGCTGAAGCAGGTTACGTAGACAAACATTATCGCTGACGTTGGAGTTCATTGTTCTTGCTCATCGTGTGCGCGTTGCGACGTGAAGTACAAGAGACTCTTCCCACTGATCGCGTTCATATATCCCTCGATCGGCTTAAGATAAATTTGCCGCCATGGCAAGGGAAGATTCCGGATTAGTTTCTGCACTGATCTCGAATTACTGCACGCACTAAACCTAACATTCCTGAACCACGATCGTGAATGTGATTAGGACAACTATGACACGTCGCTTCTCTAAATTTTACACTGCTCTAGCTTCTCTTCGTCTGTCATGTTTGAAAAAAAAAAAATTTCTCGCTCTTATTGCACAATACGAAAAGTATCAAAGGCTCGTTGGATTTCATCGTTGAAGACGTGAAGGGTTAACAGCTGAAAACGTTTCTCTCGACTGTTACTTACCGCTTCAGTATGTACAGGATGAGCAGCAAACAGCAGGCCTGTCAGAGCAGCAAATCCTGGACGCAACGACGCCACCGCTAGGCTCACCCTTGTGACCAAAACGCATGCAATGGCGTGCAGGGCAATATTCGTCGCGTGATACCAGCTCGGCTTCAATCCTGACATCAAGTAGTTTAACCTGGAAATACGGAAAGGGAAAAAATTCAAATCTGTTGTGAACGTCATTTCACAATGTAAGAATATATGTATATCTGATAAATTTTGTATTTTAAAAATATACTAGCTTCCAATTGGTTTAGATTTTCTAATACAACGAAAGGGTTAGTTTCGAATAATACTCTTAATAATAATCTAAAAAAAATTACATTGCAGGAACATTATAAGAAATATTTCCAATATCGTGGATTGTAATTTTCACGTCATTTGACGATAGCACTGAGCAACGTTCGATCGAATTCTTGTATAGGGTAGGAGAATGGAGACGCTTCTAATTCCGGTCAGTGCTCGTAGCAAAGTATCGTCGTAAACGGTTAATTTCGTTTGATCTAATTGGCCGATAATTGAAACCACGCAGTCCTGATGGGAGCCTAAGTGAAATCAGTGAACCATGATCGTAATTAGATAATTACAGCCACGCGTTACCTATTAGAGTTTATTCTGTCTTCAGAGGCGGCTAAGAATCCGCGATCGCCGTTTGTTGGCATTATTGTCAGAATTTACAGCGGGTACGCGAGAAATTGTTGCTTGAAACTCGCAATCGTTCGAATTTCTTTGCAATTTCCTGTAAATTCCCAATTTCTGTGCCTACTCCTTATCGTAAATTTTTTCGTACGCTCTTTAGTCATTTTCAGAAGCTTCCCAACTATTGTGCACTTTAATAATAAAAGAAATCATAATTCTGCAATTATCTTCAGCCAAATTTTCATTAGAATTTCTTTGCACTATTCCTGTAAATTCCTAATTTCCATACATTACTCTCTATCATAAATTTTCAGAAGCTTTCAGAAGCTTTCAACTATCGTACACTTTCATAAATAAGAAACTCATAATCCTGCAATTATCTTCGTCAAAATTTCAGCGGATCAAATTTTCGCTACAATTTCTTTGCGCTATTCCTCTAAATTCCTCATTTCTGTAGATTACTCTCTACACTAAATTTTCAGAAACATTCAACTACTAGACACTTTAATAAAGAAAAGAATCATAATCCTGCAATTATCTTCATCCAAATTTCAGCGGATCAAATTTTCACTACAAGTTCTTTGCACTATTCCTGCAATTCATAAGCTTTCAACTATTGCACACCTTAATAAAAAAAAGAAATCCCGCAATTATCTTCATTTTCCCAAACTTTCAACTAAACCGAGGACAAACAGAGCGAGGTGCACTTTCGTCCCAGGCAAAACCTTTACCGTTTCCATAAGTACAGAACCTCTCGTCCCATTCTCCGATCCCCCGTCGCGTCAATAGCCCGCATCAGCTAGCCAATGGAGAAATCGGAAAACAACGAGCGCGGTCGTCTTCCCGTTTATAAGTACAGGGGGATTTGAAGCGCGCCCGCGGTGAAGTTTTCACGGGAATCCGCTTAAGTTGACCAAGATAATCGGATTGGAGAAAACCACTCCATACATCTATTCCCTCGGTCCCGTCCATTCACCGCAACCGGTGTACAATTTCTTTCTTGCTCTCTGCTTTTCCTACCCCTACACCGACTCCGATTGCTCGATGCGCGCCACGTGTTTCGCTTTTAATGAAAGTGCCCTATGAAACTTCCAACCAATCCCCGTTCACCCCCTCCAAACCCACTCCACTATTTCATTTCATGGCTATCGATCATCGAATACTTTATTTCCTCCGTTAGACACGCTCGTCGATATTGCCGGAACATCAATTCTAGTTATAGAGAAACGCGCGAGTGGAACAGGCGAGAAGGTGTGCAACGACGTAGAGAGAAAGAGGGGGGAGGTTTTCCGGAGGTGGAGGAGGATGAAAAATAGGTGAGACAGCGAGCCACCATCAAGGACGAAAACAAACACCGTAGCTGCTGACGTGGCTGGGTAATAATTTTGAAAGTCTGCCGACGGCATAAGTTCGACGCCCAGGGCGGACCTGAGCTTGGCCCCGTTCCAGGTGTCAAGGATCCCGGTCGACCCGGAGGCGTATCCTGTCGTCTCCTTGGCCCTGGATCAACCAAAGAACTCGGACGTGTCAGTTGCCAGTTTGTACGCAGATTTTACTACGAACTTTATGGGATGTCGATGGACGATCCCTTTCTCGGGGTGTTCCTGCGAACTGGTGTGTATGTAGACGTAGCTAAGCGATGAATTTAGTTGGATCAGACGCGAACTTTATATGGGATCGGTGTAGGTTTCGTCGAATGCAGGTTGTTCCGTCGCGCAGGTACGGAACGCATGGGGTCTTCGTTGACCGGGTTTATGACACGCTCGCACCAGAAGAACGCTTCGTAGCTCCGCGAAAAAATAAGTAATTTCTTACAGAACAATGCCTTTAGAATTTCGACTTTTCCGCGTCCTCGATAACCGAAGACGTGTCATAAACCAGGTATTACTGAAGGGTCAATCCACACGCGCGTATAACGGCACTCTCGGCCGAGGGTTGACCTGGCGGGAATTTCCGACGCGTCATCGAAGGACAGCGAAGATTCCACGCACCCACTCCTTTCAAGGAAAAGCGCGCTAAGGGCGCAATGGGTGACACCTAAGAGGCACGTTCATTGGTAATTTGTGCGTCCGTGAAAAACGAATCAGCGTGCCTTCTTTGCGGGGGAGTCACGGCGGACTCCAGAAAAATTCGGGGATCGAGAAACACATTCGCAAGGATTCTCTCGTGTGAACAACACATTCTCCAGCCATTCAACGAGACACAAGTAGGAGTCGCGATCGAATACTCGAGTTTAAAACAAAGTCGTCAATCGTTCGTGACGCACTCTAAATTTGCTAACGTTCGAGCAAAGTAAATTTTTGAACTAGTTACCCAAGATTAATTTGGCGGGTAACAGTCGTGAGCGCGAACATTTTGAATAATCAAAAGAAAACGCGACGTGACACAGGTACTTTTCATTTTTCTTCCTTTTTGTAGTCTGTGTGTGCAATCTATCGTACAATAATAGTTAAACTGTGATAGCTTATATCGACCTGAGAGTGAATACTGTTGAAAGTTTTTGATTGATTGGAAGAAACAACACTGTTAATACGTTATTTATTAAAACAGTGGAATATGCTAATGAATAAAACTGTACGATCAACTTTTGTGCCGGCCCTGAGCGTGGGTGTGTAGTTGGGGTACGGCACTAGACTGACTGATTTATTTCTTGGAGTCCTCAGGCCAGCAAGGGATGCAATAAAACCGAGATCAAGGAACTTTCCCCGCTTACGCGCCGAGAGAGGTGTGTATGCGCATCTTAACGGCGAATTCCAACAAATACACCTAGTTATTTAGCTTGCATCGCTAAATCTGAATGTTAGATGCAGAAAATCGTTCTTTTTAACGTGATTTTTCAGTCGTTGTTGGTACAACTTGTTATGTCATGCGTTTCTTTTCTTTTGGTAGGAATACCGGTTTCCTTGATTATTTGTCTGCTCTTAGGTATTTATTTTGCAAACTCTCCGTTGGTTTTATGTTGGGCCCAGAAACTGTGCTCCATAATTGACAGGCACTTTCCATTCTTACAGACTATCATTCAGGATATAAATATTAACGTCCACTTTTCAATTTCAAAGACATTTCAATTCCATGTTTAGAGTTCGTAAGAGGTCGAACGATTTGTTTGCTAATCAAATTTTCCTCCTTTCTTCCCATAATTTAATAACAGTAAAACGCGATATGCTGAAAAATAGCGAATTTCGACCGTATCGAAAACTTGCCGCAATTCTAGTAATAAGTCCTTAACAAAGTTAGCTAACTTTATTTCAACTTGCGAATAACGTTGAACATTAAATAAATTTCCGTTCGAAAGTTATTCTTGTTCTCTCTCCATCCTCTGATACCAGGTACAATCACCTTTCCAGTTTTACGTATTATCGGAGGAAGTTTTTGAATTTCCTCGGAAATTATACGAACTCTTCAGCAAAAGCAGTCGCGTGTCTATCAATTAATTTCCAATAGAATTTCAAAATAAATCCTCCGAACAACTTCACAGTCGGTAGAAAAGAGAAAACTGGAATAATCAGCGAACGTTTCATTATTCACTTGACGCCTGCACACGAAGACAGCGCAGAATTAAACTGACCTACGTTCGTATGTTCGGTAGCCTGGAGGCGTCCTCGTGGCGATCCACAAACGTGATGTTTAGCATATAAATTGAGAGGTACGTTCCGGCTAACGCAGTTACTTTTATCGTCGGAACGAAGGAAGATCTAGCCGAAGAGATCAGGCAGATCGCTTTTGAACATAAAATATCATTCCATGAATAAATCCCTTTCTGGCGCAGGCTCATTCTTGAGCACACAACGACAAAACCCTAGCCCCAGCTATGTATTCACAAACGGATGCCCTCATTTCCGGGCGTCCACGGTATGTATTTAGCAAACGGAGACCGACTAGCGTTCCGAAACATTTCCGAGACGCAATCTCGTTTCACAACGCGCGAGGATACGCTGTCGCCTAGACGGCGTAAAGGGTACGAGGGCTGCATATTTAGGATCTTCCTGTTTGCACTTAAAGGGCTTCCTAGCTGGTGACGCACGAGTCTCCGGTCCTCGTTGTTCTCTCAAGTGCGAGTGTCGCTCCAGATTCGCCGTTTCCTTCGGTTTCACTTGATTGTTTACACGGATTCGGTGTAAACTGAGCACTGGTAAATGGACTCTCTTGCGTCGGTCCGACGAATCACAACGCTATCTCGCCAATTGTAAAATTCCAAGATTTACCGGCAAATACGGGCGTCGATGTTTATCTTACGATTAATTGCAAGAATATTTACATTCACATCTGTGTAATATACAATATTTCCTTTCCATTCCGTCCAATCTACTCTCGCGTTCGAGTTCGCAAGACTGAAATACAAGGAACACATTTAGCGAAATTAACGCATTGTGAAAATTGTCGAGAAGATTTTTAGTAATGCGAACAGCTTCGAGAGGCAGATTATTCGAACGTAACGTAAACGGTAGCAATGGTAAATTAATCCCAGTCACGCACCACTGTCACATCGAGCAGAATTCCAGGAGCAGCGGTGAAATTCACAAATAAAGCGGAATTCAATATTAGTTCGGTCCGAGCGGAAGGTTAAAACAGGTATCGCATCGAACGCTACCATATTACGTCACCGCCGGTTTCCGTATATTACGACATATCCATTCCGCGGCAATATTCGTTCGATATTATGACGAGCAATACCCGAGGGAACGATGGGGAGATCATACTCGAAATGACACACGTAATCGTGCCCCATGTGCACGGTACCGTAAAACAAAACGAGCTATTACGTAGTTCGACGTGTCCACGCGGCTGATCTAACGTTCATTACCGAATTCACAATTTCAGAGTACAAAGTGACCAGCCGAGGGACTTGCCGCTTCTCTCCAATCATCTCGAAACACCGTTCGAATTGTGGATTGAAATTTCGTCGAACGAAATGTTGAAGGACGTAGAGGGACAGAGGTGGAAAAAGGAGAAGGAGCGACGGGATAGGGAAAAAGGGAGAAGGACGGACAGTGAGGATAGATGGGCACAAAGGAAGGTCGTT